GCACATGTTAGACATATTTAGATGTGATGAGAGGGGGTAGGGAGGAGAGGGAGGGCACAACCTAGACAAACATCTATTAAAGGGGTTAAAATGATATATAATGTATACCTTGAGTTAGATGAGAATATGATTTCAGAGAGTGAAGTGGAAAAGAAGTCTATGCGTGGAGGATTGATTTCATTTTGTTTGTCTTCATTTTCTTATACTTACTATTTTTACACTAATTTATTATTGTTAACTTCTGAATTGTCCACGTACACACGTATTTGTGATACGTTATGTTTTTTTATGCTTTTCACTATCTTTAAATCTTTTCTATAAGTATGAAAAACACTTATTTTTACACGTATTTATCTTTTCTGTTATTTTGTAGACTTATTTTGTACACGTATTTATCTTTTCTATTATTTTTGTACACTTAATTTTTACACTTATTTTATGCTTTTCACTCTCTAGATCTTTTCTATAAGCTTTAAAAATTTAATTGTAGATCACGTTTTTAAATAAATAAATTCAACTACTATTAATAAAACCACGAGTCAAAGCAGAAACAATAAAACTAGGAGGAACATCAAGCCAAACTCGGTAATCAGACAAACAACCTTTTACTTTAGCAAACTCGTGAGCAGCGCGATTCGCAGATCTCGTAGAATGAAAAAAAAATTAATGCTATTAAAACTAACTATAGCTTCTCTAATATCACCTGCAATAAAATCAAAAGATGTAGAACTATTCCCGTGAATGATCTCCGAAATAGCATTAGCGCATCCGATTCCACCTCCACATTTTCTCATTCTTCCAAGTGAATCCAAGATAAAGCTTCCCTGATACCAAGTAACTCTCCTTCCCTAGCTGAGCACTGGCCACGCCACGGTTTAGCCGCCCCTATCACAAATTTCTATGCCGAGTCACGAACATCCTAGCACAACCCTCGCCTTGCTCCACTCGTTGAGGCATCAACATTCACCTTTAATTTCCCCTCCCCCGGCTGCTGCCACATCCCAGAACCTACCCACACTTTCCTTCCCAAAAGGATCTAGCACCCTACACTTCAAATTCCAGCCCTTCCAAAATGTCGTAGCTTGCTCCCATATACAATCGGCCGACAAGTCGAGGCATCAACATTCCAGCCCTCCACTCGTCGAGGCATCAACATTCACCTTTAATCTGTCTGTTTTTTTAAAAAAAACACCAATTGATGTGATTTGTATGAAAACCAATACATGTACGTATACAAACACAAGTTGTTTGTATACACACAAAAAATGTCTGTGCACATATATTTTTGTCTATGCGCAGACATGTTTACCGACAAATTTTATTCACAAACGCAAATTTTATTCACTCAAACAAATTTTAACGAAAAGTGTGTGTATTTGTACTCCGTACTTTTTTGTCTATGTGAAGGATAAATAAATAGGGGAAAATTGTCAATTTGGTCCGCATACTATCACAAAAACGTCAGTTAAGTCTTCATACTTTAAAACAAATCAATTAAATCGCTAAACATTGAAAAAGCATTCAATTGAATCAATCAACAGATCACCCGCTGATGTGGCGCACACGTGACGATCCATGTCATTGAGAAACGGTTGGTTTGGCTTACACATGTGCGCACGTTAGCAAAGTTACTGCTAGCCGATTGGGCTGCCACATGTATGCCACATCAGCAGCTGACTGGGCTGCCACATGTATGTCATGTCAGCAGATGACTTGTTGATGTGACGGGTAACCTGCTAATTGACTCAATTGAACGTTTTCTCAAATTTTGGGGATCTCATTAATTTTTTTTAAATACGAGGACTTAATTGATGTTTTGTGTGATAGTACAAGGACGAAATTGATGGTTTCCCTTAAATAGGATGTAATCGGGGTGTACACCAAACACTACTGTGTTAATTAAGAAAACAATGCCCGGAAACGATCATTGTATGAATTTTTGCTAAATTGCTAGAAGTAGCACACGTACAAACGTACTTAACATATACCCTACAAATTTATTACTAAAAGTCACATGGCTGAAAACGAGCACAAATTAAATCTATGAGAATCTGTAATGACACAATGTGCAAGGTACACATGTGGCATGAGAAGATAGACACACAAATATTAGTAAGCACGATTATTCTCTTCTTATTTGACGGTCTTATATGTTTTTGGTTAGTTTTTTCTCCAGAATATCAAGAAAAATGTCTAGATATAGACATTGTTGTTGACATTATTACCAAAATTATATAAAATCATGTAAAGAAGAAGAGAGAAATGTCAGATTATTTATTTTTAATTTATGTGTCTATCTCTAACATTCCACATGTGCATTGTGTACATTGTAACAATCATGATCTCTAAACAGCCTCACTATATCTACGGTTCGAATGTTAAGATATCTCACAAATAATTGAGGGTATCGTACACATAATCAATATCAATATATATATAAAAGAGGAACTTTTTAAGAGCATACAAAGCGCCACATAATAATGTCATGTCATTCATCACATAATCCTACCTTTTATTTATTTTATTAGATTCTATTTTTGATTGCATATTGATATGGAAACAAAATACCGTTTGATAAAAATCCACCTTATTTGACAACTTTTTCAAACCTAGCTATTAGGTATTTGATATGGAGTAATTATTAAATTCTTTAATTGGAACCACATACAACAATTAATAACTAACCGTACACATAGACTACATTTTATACATAGTACTTTCTATAAGCACGTAGTAATTTTTTTAAGAGAATAATATTTAAAGAGAATCATTCAAAGAGAATATTTCTAATCAAGTAAGCTACTTGATTATTTTCTAATCAAGTAGCTTACCGCTATTTATTTTTTATTTAATAAGGATGAAAATTGATATCATACATGCATGTGTGTGTGTGTGCGTCCTCACAAGTAAATAGGTTTAGTCTCGCCAAAAAGTAAATATGTTTGGTTGTTTTGTTTCTTTATTTTACAACTATGGAGTACAATTTAAATATGCTATCACTTTTGAAACATATTCCTAATCCAAATTAGGAAATCTTTGTATGTTTACAAATTCATAATTTAGTTATACTCTTAGGGTGTTTTTATTTAGATTGATTTCATTTTCAATCTAGATCAGACCAAATCAAACTTTAATAATAATAATAGGACACATAAAATGTAAAACAGACGTTAAAACAATTAATAATAGTTTTTAATGTGACGAAATAATGAGTAAAATGTAAAAAAACTCCTTTTTTTTACATTTTCAATGTGACGAAATATTGAGTAAAATGTAAGATCTTAATATTAAAAGTTAAAAGTATGTATTTCATATTTCATACCAAGCTGGATGAGTAATATGAAAAAAAATGAAGTGCATAATAAAGTAATTTAGAGGACGTGAGATAATTAAGAAGCTTCTTTGTGAATACTTTAAAATTGGGTTCACAACGGTTATGTTTAGTTGAAATGCTTGTGTAGAAGAACATATTAAATTTTTACATATAATTGTTTCTTTATTTTACAAATGTTTTTCATGATTTAGGAGATTCCTCCTATTTAGCCCAATCAGCCAGAATTTAATCAATTTCAGTAAAATAAGTCGATTCTATCAATTTTAGTATTATCAATCGAACTCTATATTCAAACCGAGTTTATTTTACTTTTGCATCACATTATATATGATTCTGGAAAAAAAAATCAAATTTAACATTAGCTAAATTATGTACTGCCTGTGCATCGCACGGGCTTGAAACCTAGTACTCCCTCCGTTCCTAAATAAACTTCCAACTTTCCTTTTTCGTCCGTTCCAATTAAAACTTCCACTTTCCCTTTTTGATAAAGAATTTGTGGTTCACAACATTTCTTACACATTTCTCTCTCCTCTGCACAAATCTCCACCACACAATATCCACTATCTTAAACTTTGTGCCAAACCCATTTGGAAGTTAAAATGGGAATGGAGGTAGTACATTTTATGCACAGGCTTGAAACCTAGTACGAAGTACTCCCTCCGTCCCATATTTAACTCCGGTTTTGACCGGGCACGAGTTTTAAGATAGTGGGATTTGTGTGGTGGAGAGTTATGCAGAGGAGAGAGAAACGTGTAAGAATGGTTGTGAACCACATATTCTTTACCAAAAAGAGAAAAAGGAGATAAATTTAGGACAGACCGAAAAGGAAAGAATGAAGATAATTTCGGGACGAAGGGAGTACATTTTATTGATCAGTCATTATCTAATCATGTAGTAATATTTAAAGTGTTCAATTGTAATATAGATATATAGAATATGCCTATCTACAATTTTAATGTAAATGATTAAATAAATAAACAGTTTATCACGGCTCAAATTTCTCCTGACTTTCAGGAGCAAACACCAAATTGTCATATGCTTGCCCTCCCTGGTCAAACCAACTATCACGTTTCATAACTCAAAGTAGAAGAAAACCTTGAAATCGCGAACGGCATAATTATTGTCTCCGGTTCGTGTTTAATCCAAAAAAGATCGATACATTTTGACTTTTCTTGATCAATGATGATTAAGTTTGATCAATGATATCTTTTAATACAAAATTATTTAAAATATGAAAATTATATGAACATATTCTTTATTAAAAAAGCTTACATAAAAGTATAAAATTTATAAATTACAAACAAATATAATACCTAAAATCATTATCTAAACTCTATCATCATTGATCAAGAAAAATCAAAATTTATAAATTTTTTGGAACGGAAATAGTATGTCAATAAGATGCAGTTACGCAAAGAAATCTCAAAAAATAAAACAGATAGTGGTCGCTCGTTATAGTTATTAGCTAGAGTTGATATTATTAACGATTAATTATTTAATTAATAATAAGTTGAAAAATACCATCAAAAAAAGTTGAAAAATGGCGCCAATTAGCATGACTAAACTTCCCTTCACGTTCCCAATTTCCGATCCGATCAAAAAAAAAACTTCCCTTCACACGTCGCCTATAAAAAGCTGCACTGTCACCTCACCATCGCTGATCGATCTCCTTCATAATAAACAGTACTTGTAAGATCTTTTTCTTTGTCATTGAAGAAAAAATAGATTGAAATGGAGAAAAGATTGCATTTCCCACTAGTTTTGGCCTTGTTTTTGTTAGCCACCACTACGGTGGTGGCTAACGGAATGTACAACGTCGAGAGCTACGGAGCAATACCCGACGGCCGGAGCGACTCGACGACCGCCTTCCTCAGGGCCTGGGATGCGGTGTGCCGGCTGGATGGACCGGCCACCATATTCGTGCCCCGAGGAAAGTTCATGCTCAGGAATGTGTTTTTCCACGGTGAAACTTGCAAGAACACACGTGGCATAACGTTCCAAATCAGCGGGACGATTCTCGCTCCTTCGGACTATAATGTCATCGGACACTCCGAAACGTGGATCACGTTCAACCGGGTTAACAATGTCTCCATTGTCGGCGGAACCCTAGACGCCCAAGGTGCCTCTCTCTGGGATTGCAAAAATTCAGGCCAACTTGGCTGCCCCAACGGAGCTGCGGTAAGATTGCAAGATGAGTTCATCAGTTGATAAACAATATATGTATAATGCTAGTTTTTGTTAGGCATGATAGAATAGATATTTTTATTGAGGTTATTCAACAATTTATTAGGCATTTTGGCCAGAGATTTGATACCTTAGCTTCCATCCTTACTACTGAAGGTAAAACTTATAGGAGAATACCAAATTGAATGAGTTGATGAATGGAAGTAAACATTAGAAATTGTAGATATATTCAATCTATGCATGTGCTTATTATTAGTTCTATAAATGTAACTAACCATTTGTAAATAATGACTTGTAACTAATACTGTGTAAAATTCTTCAAATTAAAGTGTTTTCCAACGAAATGTACGAAGTATTATTTTTGGAGAAAATAGTTCATCTTGTACGTAGCAACAATTCAAATGAAATTGTTGACAAAATTTGTCCAGTGTATGGCAATATAGAAAATATTAAGTGAACATATTTATTACTCCTCCCTCCCAAATTGAATTGCTAAAATTGACTTTTTGGGTCAAAAAATGTTGATTTTGCATTGGTTGATAAAAAATGTTTACTTTTCAAAACAATTTGGAACGGAGGTAGCAGTAACGAACTCTTAACTATAAGTAAGCAAATTTAATTATGAGAATAATGATGGTCACAAACTAAATTTACAGGACCAAATGAACAAATTACAGGACTAAATGAACAAATTTATCTCCCTTGTTTTATGTAATTATACAAAGTGTAGTGGCACTTAATAATGTAATTCAAGATTTGTTGGCTCGAGGTCATTCTATTAGTTTGTTTTGCAGTTTATTGGGTACATAATACTACAAAATTATTGAAAAATGACTAGTATAGAAATGCATGGGAGTAAAATATGAAATGGTTTATGAGTAAAAATTGAATCTGAACACAAATTAAGTTTAACTAATTGCGAAGTATTGAATATAAAGACATGCATGTGATGTTTGCTAGTATTCCATGTGCCGCTAATGATGTAATTATAGTTTTGTTTAAAATAAAACACCATTACATACGTGAACTGAATAAAAGATCAGTCAATCAGTTAGTGATGTTACTTTATACTTGATTGAAAATTTCAGACCTTAGCCTTTTACAACTCGGATAATGTTGCGATTACGGGACTTAGCTCAGAAAACAGTCAAAAGTTCCACATTGTGATATACGGAACGCGGAAAGCCATGCTACAAGGACTGAAGATATCGGCGGCGGAGGACAGCCCAAACACCGACGGAATCCACATCCAGTCTTCCACCCAAGTCACCGTCCTCGATTCTTTCATCGCCACCGGCGACGATTGCATCTCCATCGGCCCCGGCAGCACCTACTTGTGGATTGACAGTGTCGCTTGCGGTCCCGGTCATGGAATCAGGTATTGTTCGTTTCTCCTTAGTTACGTTCTTCCCATCATTCTAAATTCGATTGCGGTCACTGCAATTGCGGCTATTACGATCATGCGATACATATTGCAGTGTGAATTAATTTTATGTTCTCACGTTAGAGAAAATATAAATATTAGAGATGCGGTCTGATGCGATTATTATGATGCGGTTTGAGTTGCGAATTCAAAAAGTGTCACAAGTGCGTTGTGATGTGGTTGAGTTAGTGACACTAACCGTAATATTGCGGCCACAACACGTGTTGAGTTGAGGTCCTCAGTTCAAAAACATGATTCCCCGTCCCTTCTAAAGATAATGTCCAATTTTTTCATTGGTTTCAAAATTTTGTAATTTTATTATTTGTATATTTGAATAACTTTAATACTCAATTATTATTTCCCATTTTTACGCTTACTTTATCAAAGTAAACCACCTTATTAATTTGATCTTACTCAGTTGAAACAAGAGTATAAATTAAAAAAAATTATAAATTCAGGATCCGAACGATAGATGAATTATCAATTCGGAACCTAAAAGATATATCTATCGGTATATGACCCTAATTATTATTGTTATTACCAATTTATGTTTAATTAATTATTTATTATTAAAATTGTCGTGCTGGTGGGTGCAGTATTGGGAGTCTAGGGTGGGCGATGCACGAGGCCGGAGTGGAAAACGTGAAGGTGAAAAACGTTCAGTTCACCGGAACGGAGAACGGCCTGAGAATCAAGACTTGGGCCAGGCCCAGCAACGGCTTTGTGAGAAACGTCGAGTTCCGGAGGGCGACGATGGTCGACGTCAGCAACCCCATCATCATTGACCAAAAGTACTGCCCGGGTAAGAACCAGAACTGCCCCAGCCAGACGTCCGGAGTTAAGATTACCGGCGTCACGTTCCAAGACATCCAAGGCACGTCGGCGACCAAGGTGGCTCTCGCGTTGCTGTGCAGCAGCAGCCGGCCGTGTAAAGGGATAACGGTGGACGGCGTCAATCTTACTTATAACGGCCAGCTAGCTCAAGCTTCTTGCGTTAACGCCGCTTGTCCCCATAGCTTCGGCCGCAATTGACGTATTACTTTAATTAGCCGACAACTATCTATTTGTGTGATATTGTATGGTACCAATGAAAAACGTAAGAATTTTGGTATATCGACTTGCTCAATCTTTGTCCAATCTTTGTCATCGCATAAATTCCATTATTAATATATAATAATTCTCTATTTTAAAAAAATTAAAAATGAATAAGATTATTTTGAAAAATTTTATTTTTAAAAAATTAAAAAAATATAGTTTTAAAATTTACCATTAGAAAGACATGATTATTGTTTAAACCATAATTTAGTAGTAATACATTAATAAACAGTTTAAGTAGAATATGTGAATAACATAAAATTCAATTTATTACAAGTATTTGAGAATGGAGGAAATATATGTAAAATTGTAAAGGTTTAAATAGGTTTTAAGTCCCTCCAAATATAGCAGAGTTTGTTTTACATTTCTGTAAACTTATTTTTCTGTTTTTCATCACTGAAATTTATGGTGATTTTGTTTTTGGTCCATCACCGATGAAAACAACTTCATTTAATTCTTTGTCATATTATTCAAAAAGTAAATAATTTTAATTTTAGAAGGTTTTTAATACATATTTGAAAATGTAAATAATTAATACTTTAACTCTCATGTTAGTCTCAAAAAAAAATTATCAACGGATTAATTTAAAAGTTTCTAGTAGATTTATGCAATGGGTAATAACTTTTTTCCCAAATTGAGTGGTTTCGAAGTAGGAAATGAACTAAAAACAAAACAGAGCATATTACAGGGATGAAAAACAAAACTAAAAATATTTTACAAGTACCTAAAACAAAGTATGTCATATTTGCGGGGACTAAAACCATATTTAAGCCAATCGTAAATGCATGCCACTAGACTAATTAATTAGTCATGCAACATTTTTCCTAACCAGTGTGTGGCTTTCTATATTATTATTATTAGCTTTCAAAATATTAGCAAACATAAGCACAGATGACCAGTTTGTATAGCATGGGAACACCATGCTCCATTTTCAAAATGACGCAATTTTGCACATTTTTAAATTAAATATTTTCACGCGTGAACAGTACACGCGTGTGTAATAACTATTTTTTGTTTCTTCTTGTTCCAGTAGCAGAATGATGTAACTTGCGTGTAAATAAATGTAACTCATAATAATAAGAAATGTTAGTACAGGCAAGTCAAAATGTAACTTGTCTAAAACATTGATTTAATTGTAAACAATAAAAAAGAGTCTAATTGCGTAGTTACTTTACCTAAATAGTGAATATGTTTTGCTTTTAATATTAAGACCATAAATGTTTTAAGGAAATCATCCCCCCCCCCAAAAAAAAATCATATTTTTGCAAAAAAAAACAAAAAAGATTCAAAAAAGGTTTTTTTTGTTTCAATAGTACGGGCTTTATGTTGTGATATAACTCGTCTTATGGAAAATGTAACTCACGTTGATGGAAAATCTTGTAGGGTGTGTCTCGGAAATACGAAGAAATATTAATTAATAAAAATAATTAATTAATTTAAATAGGTAAAGAAAACCAGAAATAGAGATGGGACAGAGTTTAGTCAGAGCTCGTGCTACGCACGATGTCCTTAAAACGTATTCGTCGCCTCCCACGGTGCTAGGAGCATTGCAACGACCGTTTCCCAGGATACAGTGGCTAACGAACTAACGTTTGAGCACACAAATGAGAGTTCCGGCGAACGGGAACAAAGTAGAACACTCATGAATATTTTTTCAGAGTAGCTGGAAGTGTTTTAGAGCTCAAAATACGTGCAGATAGTGTATGATTGCATGTGTTGTTGCAAAGCACCTGCCAGCTATTTATAGGAGGATTTGTTATGTGTTAAATGAGGTGTTAATGGACCTAAACATTGGACATGAATGACCAGTCTGTTGGGCATTGAATCGTCCATAAACTGTCCATTTAACGCAGCATTAAAAGAAAAGAACGTTGGACATTTAATGGCTTGGAGCAGTTCTGGTGCGCGACCAGAATACCCAGTTGGAGCAACTCTGATGCTACCAGAATACCTCATCAGAGTTGGAGCAACTCTGATGGGAAGAAACAAAATTAGACCGTAGGTCGCCCGCGCACACGAGTCGCGGTTTTTCTTCTCCATTTCGGAATTTGATCGGCATCCCCCCCCCCCTGCGCGTAAGAGAGAGCCTTTACCTTTAGGAATCTTAACTCCTTAAAAGAGGTTTCCCTTTATAAGGGGGTGAAAATCCCTTAAGTTTTCCGGTGTGGTATAAAACACACTAGAAACTCATCATTTTCCCAGTTTTTCCATTTCAACGAGTGAACTTCGAGAATCAATTTCTCATTCACCCGTTATCCGTTTTGTGTGTACCATATATCGAATTGTAGCCCTTAACAAGGACAATCCGAAACCACTTTAACCCGACCCAAATCGGAAGTGGACCCCACTCAAAAAATTGCCCCAAAATCACCATTTAATGCAATTTTTAACACATTTTTTCAACAATCCTCCACATGAATGAAAATTGATTTTCGAGACTTAAAAAGACACGAAGATAGGAGGACACGTTGTGTTCACCGGATGATCCTTGCATACGGAGAGGTAGGTTTTATCCTTTGAACCTTCCGTTGTAAAGACACGTTTATTTACTGGATGTCTAGTAGACTCGATGTCCTTGAACTATACTGCCTTCGTGTAAACATTGACTTATCTTTACACAAGAACCTTCCAACTTTGTTCCGTTCTCATGGGTGTGCCCGTTTTGGCCATGGGTCACCGTCCTGGTTCTGCAAGAGTTTCTAAAGAACTGAGCCTTTACAGCTCTCCTTCGAAGCGGCCCTCTTCTCTCTCACATAGGTGATTCTTTCACGAGTATCCCGCATACTCTTCCAATGTTATCGAGTAGATCAACATTTTAGAATCATTAAAGCAAACGTTTTTGCTAACCTCGTGCGGGAGTCACTGTTTTTAACGAGGAGTGGGTAGGAGTCTGGGACCCCCACAGTGACCATCCTTCGCTCTATAATTTAGTTGTCCCTTTTGAACCTAGGACCAACTAGGTTGAGTATCCACTATAGAACTTTTCAATTCACGGGCTTTAGACCCATTCCTCGTGACAACTTCTCCAACAATTCTCTATCCAATGCCTTGGTTAGCGGATCCGCTATGTTATCCTTTGACTTCACGTAGTCAACAGTGATAACACTCGTTGTGAGGAGTTGTTTAATGGTGTTATGTCTACGACGAACGTGTCTAGACTTACCATTGTAGAGATTGCTCTGTGCCCTCCCAATTGCCGCTTGAAAATCGCAATGTATGCATATTGGAGGGACAAGCTTTTCCCAACTTGGAATATCATCGAGAAAATGGCGTAGCCATTCAGCCTCTTCAGTGCACTTATCCAAGGCTATTAGCTCAGGCACCATCGTGGATCTAGCTATTAACGTTTGTTTTGAGGATTTCCATGACACGGATGCACCTTCCAAAGTGAAAACATATCCATTTGTGGACTTTAAGTCCTTAATGTCGGATATCCAACTGGCGTCGCTATACCCTTCAAGTACAGCAGGATATTTTCCATAGTGTAGTCCAAGGTTTTGGGTTTTACGTAAATACCTCAAAACCCTTACTATTGCCTTCCAGTGTTCATCACCGGGGTTGCTAGTATATCTACTTAGCTTACTAACCACAAAGGCGATATCAGACCTGGTACAACTCATTAGATACATCAAGCTTCCAATAATCCTAGCGTATTCTACTTGAGAAATACACTCTCCACGATTTTTGGTAAGTTGTACATTTTTATCTAATGGAGTCCTTGCCTCTTGATAATCATCCTTATTATATTTCGTAAGGATTTTATCAACGTAATGGGATTGGCTTAGCGTAAGACCGTCTTTTCCCCTAATTATTTTAATCCCAAGGATTAAATCGGCCAACCCCATATCCTTCATGTCAAATTTAGAATTTAACATGATTTTGGTAGAATTAATCATTAGATTATTGCTACCCACGATGAGTATATCATCCACGTATAAACATAAAATGACATAGTCGTCTACCGTGCTCTTCACATAGACGCATTTGTCACTTTCGTTTATTTTAAACCCATTAATTAACATTGCATGATCGAACTTTTCGTGCCACTGTTTAGGGGCTTGTTTCAATCCATACAATGATTTAATTAATTTACACACTTTCCTTTCTTGGCCAGGAACACGAAAGCCTACGGGTTATTCCATATAGATTTCTTCGTCTATATCGCCATTTAGAAAAGCGGTTTTTACGTCCATTTGATGAACTTCCAATTTCCGCAATGCGGCAATTGCTAGTATCATCCTAATGGAATTTATTCTCGTCACAGGAGAATACGTGTCAAAGTAATCATGACCCTCACGTTGCTTGTATCCCTTGATTACAAGTCTGGCCTTGTACTTATCGATGGAATCATCAGGTTTCATTTTCCGTTTAAAAATCCAATTGGATCCCAAAGGTTTATTTCCCGTAGGAAGATCAACCAATTCCCATATGTGATTTTTAAGGATAGAATCCACTTCACTTTTGATGGCTTCTTTCCACATAGGACCTTCGGTAGACGTCACGGCTTCCATATAAGTTTGTGGTTCATTTTCTACCGAACATGTTAGAAATTCCGGTTCATTTTCTACCATACATGTTAGAATATCCGATTCAAATTCTACTAGGTAGGTGAGAAAATCCGGTCCGAAGGATTTTTCGACTCTAGCACGTTTGCTACGTCTGGGTTCGGGTTCTTCTCCGGATCCCTCGCTAGTATTTTCCATAGCTACGTCAAATGTTCGTTTTGACGTGCAAGGCCCTTCGTTGGACTTGCATGGAAATACATCTTCAAAGAATGAAGCATTCCTTGATTCAATTATTGTGTTTTTATGTACATCCGGATTATTCGAATCGTACACTAAAAACCGATAAGCACTACTATTTTGTGCATACCCAATAAAAATACAATCCACCGTTTTTGGACCTATTTTTATTTTCTTAGGTGTTGGTACAAGCACCTTAGCAAGACACCCCCACACTCTTAAATATTGATAGGAAGGCCGTCTGCCTTTCCACAACTCGTACGGAGTTTTATCATATTTTTTCCGGGGAAC